GGGCGTGTGGGAAGGCGTGGGCCGGATTTTCTTACAAGGCCTTTCATAGTCTTTGGGCTTTCGTCAAGTTGTCCGTTGCTTCAGCTGTTATGCTCTGGTCAGTTCTCCTCTTCTTTCTCATCATTTATATATATATATATGTCTAATCCTCTTGCATGGGCCAAAGCTTAACTTTTCTTGTGTTTATATGATGCCCCAGTTTGGAAGTGTGGTATTTTACTGCCCTAATTCTTTTTGCTGGATACTTGAAGAATGCTGAGGTGGCCGTTGATTCTCTCTCAATCTGGTAAATTAACATTTATAAACTTTCAGGGAGATATTACGATACCATTCTGTCGGAATTTGTAACTGTTAGATCAACTATCCCCGACGGTTAATGATCTAACGGTTACAAACCCGACGGAACGGGTGCATCCAAATATTTTGGGCCAATAAATGTAATATTAATTGACTTTTTTTTTATTTTAATTTTTTGCAGTGTAAATATATTGGGGTGGACCGGAATGGTTGCGCTCGGATTCAATGCTGCAGTGAGGTCAGTCAATCTAGCCTACTTTTTTGTACACTTCATACAAGTACATATGTATACTGTAGATTTGCAATTTCTCATTAACAACTCTTTTTTGACATAAAATATGATTTTGATGTGCATCGTGCAGTGTAAGGGTGTCGAACGAATTAGGAGCAGACCGTCCGAGAACAGCCAAATTTGCAGTGGTGGTGGTCGTGATATCATCATTTGTTATCGCTGTTCTTATTTCGGTGTTCTTCTTGGCGTTCCAAAAACAATATCCGACCTTATTCTCCAACAGTTTGGATGTCAAAAATCTCGTGTATCATCTCACACCGATGCTCGCATTCTGCATTGTTCTTAACAACGTTCAACCTGCTCTATCAGGTATCTAATCAATGTTATTATTAGGAATGACTATAGTCGTCCCGTCACGAAATTATTTCAACTTCTGTTAATTTTCCTTTTTAGAGCAAAATGACATTGTTGTAAAACGTTATATTGGGTGCAGGTGTAGCTATTGGAGCAGGATGGCAAGCCATAGTCGCATATGTCAATATCGGAAGCTACTATTTGTTTGGCATTCCGTTGGGTCTAACGCTCGGTTACGCTGCCAAACTGGGTGTACGAGTAAGTATATACGCATATTATGCTATCAAATGTCATACTTTTATTTATATTGATCGTTAATTAATGTATGCCGTTTCAGTATGAAAATATATAAATCTATAAGAAAATTGCACACAAAATTTGTATACAAACATATTTCACCATGTTATGCACAAAATATGTACAACCAATATTTCAAATTTTAATTTAATTTCCTATTAAAAACTAATTAACAAAATATTTTGATTTTTTTTTTTTCCCAGGGAATATGGTATGGGATGGCAGGTGGAACTGCTATTCAAACCCTCATCCTTTTGTGGTTAATCTACAGAACTAACTGGAAAAAAGAGGTATATATTATTATTTTATCTAATTCCATTAATTTATTTTATTTTTTACCATGAGAATTATTTAAATAATTTTATCTAATTCAATCAATTGTTTTAATATTTTTTTGTTGTGTTATGGATAATACAATTCAGGCTTCTGCTGCAGCCGAAAGGATTAATACGTGGGGAGGGGAATCAGCTGTTAGAGAAAATAACATAGAGAATTAAATTAGCCATTTGAGGGGGAGGATTTTAATTTCTCAATTTTTTTTTTCTTTTTATTTATTTGTTTATTTCTTAATTCATGTGTAGAAAAAAAGTTTCGATTAATGACAAAAATTAGTCAAGTCGGAATTTCGATTGTTGTCAAATAATGTTGTAAACTACAATTATACTTGTAGCATTGCTCGTAAACTTATTAGACAAGAAGTTATTGAGGAAAAGAATTCCTCAAGTTTTTCAATATATTCATTTTGTTTATTTCTTTATTGTTCTTTGCCTCTTCTCTAGTTGATTTTTGTTGACCATCAATCAAATATATATTAATCACAAAAAGTTCAGAAATATCTTAAAAAACATATTTTTTTTCACAATTCAATATAAGAAAATTATCGAAAATAATATATTATGTTTAATTTTTCACAATTCAATATAAGAAAATCATCGAAAATAATATATTTTTAATTTTTTTATGAACAACAAATTTATATTGCAGCATAGTTGATTCGACATGTAAATAATTAATTTTTAGATTACGAATATATAACTAGAGTTCCACCTACATTAGCTAAAAAAGACATAAAAATATATTCGGAAGTTATAGAAAAAAAAAATGTTGCAGAAGAAAGAATAGAGCTATCGTAAAGGTTAAAAAATTGAACTAGACACTATATTGTGGATTAAAAATTTATAATATTTCCTTTTAATCGTGATACTTCGTTTATTTTATAACTTTGATAAAGTTACGAGTTAAATTAAATTACAAGTGGTTGAGTTGTAAATTAACAAATTATGTATATTTATTTTTTTGAGTTTTATTTTTTAAATAAGAGGCATGATTAAAATTATGAAAAATGCTCGGAAGATTTTTTTTTAAATACCTTATGCTACATGTTTTGAGATGGAGATATGTGGTGGCGCCTAATAAATAAACATGGATCTTCTCATGATTCCAATCAAATATTTTTGTAGAATTATCAATGAAAAATTCAACGGGAGTAATAACATTGAAATATTCGTGAGTATTGTCGTTGAAGTTCCGTTGCAGTATATTTTTATTACAATTTTCGTAAGAATCTCATCGTTCTCTTATAGTAAAAGTACGGTTCCAAATTAATAAAAAACTTTGCATCATATATAATAATTTGCGCAACGACTTACTATGATAAATGTAGATAATGATACAGTATATAATTCAATGTAACTATTATTTAACTAACTATTATAATAAGTAATTTTTTCAAAACAAATAAGATTCATCTCGATTGAAAAAATTATTTTACTAGTATTATAATTAACTTTAAAAAGGGGTAAAGATGATGTTTTATTCACATATGCTCGTAAATTTGGGAATATATTCAAGATGATCCAAAGTTTAATAGACAACACTGAATTCAAGGGCCGTGAAAAAAGCAGAGTTTAAGATGAAGGAGGTCTCATTGCCACATTCGATCCGGTGGAGGAAACGGTAACCATTTGAATGCGGCGCGTTCGTGAGGGTTCACATGGGGGATGCCAAAGAAATCGATCTCGAATGCTGAGCCTACATGGCTGCTTCTGAAGTTTCGAAATCTTACTTGGCGAAGAATCATTAGGTTTGGACAAATAATATTGATATATTAATAATTAATAACTAGGTTTGGACATTTCATAAATATTATTTAGCTAACTTAAGTATTTTAATATCACTTGTACTAATATAATCCTTTACTTCTTCTTGTAATTTTACATAGTGGATACTAAGTGACTAATATATCCCTGACTTTTGATTTGTTTCCTTCAATTATTTTGATTTGTTTCCTTCAATTAGTTATTGAATTGTAAATGTATTTTAAAAGTTGATAACTTTTGTATTTCTTATTGGTTTTACATCTATAATATACCAAATTAATCAACTTTTGATGATCTTTTATTTGACATCCATATTGTATATATGAAATAAATAAATTATGTTTATCTTTATAATAATAAAAAATACTAATATTTATTAAAATTTATTAGAAAAATAAAATTATTTCTTAATTGATATATTTATGTTTAATGTAGTTATATGTTGTAAATTAAAAAAATTATAATATAATGTTGGATATTTGGTGTCAAAATTACACGGGAATCCTACGAACTGATATGTATT